ACACACACACACACACACACACACACACACACACACACACACACACTTGTTCTTCTATCCTCATGGGGACTACCTTCCAATTGTCCCCTCTGTGAAGAAAAAACATGATCTTGCAGTGAATCAACCGTGTTTTGGGGTTTTTTGGGGGTTTTTTTTCAAACCCGAGTCAGAAAAACTTTTTTTTTTCTTTACTGTGGAAATTAACTGTGGATGGTTTCTTGCTCTTAAGTCTCAGTGGTAAAGTCCATCTTACAGTCTGGTTCTGCTCTGCAGCAGATCACTCCAGCAGCATGCGGAAGCTCACCTGTATGGCAGGCTGCTTTTACGTTACGTTCCTGGCCCTGAAAATGGTTTTATGACTACACAGCTTAGTTTTTTTTAAGTGAGAGATACATAAAATTAAACTAATACAAATTAAATTGAAGATTTTTTCATGTTATTTTTATTTAAAAAAAAGCTTCTTCTCATTTAATAAATATTAATATTTCTGCTGTTAATCATAATTCTCTGTTCATCATTCTGGTTTAACCAAGGCCAAAGATCCTGAAGGCCAAACTACAGGAGTTGTCTATCTGAGGGGCAGGTGTAGTCTAAAAGACATTTAACCATGAAACGTTTAAGATGTTTATAAAATGTTCAACCCTTAAACATTTGCACTTAGAATTTCTTTCATTTCATTTATCTTGATGTTTAAGTTAAAATTTCAGGTCATAAAATCACTTTAAATACTTTTCAGTAAGTTATACGTCTACAATTCTGGTTCAAATATTGAACTTTATTTTGCTAGATCGTTAACAAGTTATTTATGAGTTAATATTTCCTTAATGGTCAATGATTTTAAAAAAAGTAAACCATTAAAATGTCAATGTTAAATGCGACGCATTTGCAAATTTGGGTGCACCTAACTTTTGTACTGGTGCACCTAATGAAAAATGTTAGGTGCACCGGTGCAACCAGTGCAAAAAGTTAATCTAGAGCCCTGTATAGTGTTTTTTTTTTTAATTTTGTAATGTCTTTCGATGTTTGTTTTATGTGACAACGTTTTTAAGTGGGCTATACAAACAAACTTGATTTGAATCAAGATCCCTGTATTGTTCTGACTATTTTGGAGAAAAAAAATGTTAGGATAATTTTTTTATAATGTTAAAAATTCAAGTGACAAGACTGGAAGACTCTGCAAAATGGACTGAACTGAACTTATAGAGCGCTTTTCAAGTCCCTCCAGACCCCAAAGCGCTTTACACTAACAGACATTCACCCATTCACACTCACATTCACACACTGATGATGGCAAACTACACTGGACAAACTGGCAAAACTTTCTAGACATTTTGGAGACTCTCTCACAAATGTCATTCACCAACTAGTAACAAGCAGTCACAGCCCAATAAGATACTTGCATTAAAGACCAAAATATATTTGATTTGATTTAATTCAGTCTTAATAAAAAGCCAGTATTTTTATTTGTCTAGAAAAGTAAAATTAAGTAAGTATTATACTATTATGAAACAGTGACAATAAGCTTTTAACAGTTAGACAGCTATTAAATCAAACAAAATATTTTTTCAACAACAAATAATAGCTGAATTACAAAATGACTGGTCATTCTGGTTGACAGAATTAGATGCACATACAGGTGCTGGTCATAAAATTAGAATATCATGAAAAAGTAGATTTTTTCAGTAATTCCATTTAAAAAGTGAAACTTGTATATTATATTCATACATTATATACAAACTCATATATTTCAAATGTTTATTTCGTTTAATTT